GAGGGAGGTTTCGAATCTTGCCGTGGTTTGGGACACGGTGCTTGATGGAGTCGATTTCGAGTTGGCTGGACGCTATGACAAGGTCGACAAGGATGCGATTCCGTTCGTTGGTAGGTCAGGCCCTCCACGTTTCAAGTGGAAGCTGCTGGCATGGGAACCTCCGCGCCGTCGTACTTATCGCGAGCTAACGGTCTATGCGTGGGCGACGGTCAAAAGATGGTGTCAGCATCTCAGGTCGGAGCGGGATCGACTGGGCAGGTTCTGTCAAAGGTTGCAGTTGGCTTCTGTGGTCTGCCAGCTTACGCCCCTGCAGTATACCAAGGCGCTGCAGGCCTTCTACGAGGTGGACCAATATTGCCGCAGGATCGCCCGCGACAAAAAGACATGCCACCACCTAGATCAGGACACCGTCGACTTCCTGCTGCGAGGCTTGGGCATGATCGGCGACGCCGACTTCGATTCGGGCCTGGACAACATCATGCTGAAGGCCGATGCGGTGTTGAAGGCAGCGAGAGGGGCCTCGGAGAAGGCTTGGCGTGGCTGGGCCAAGCAGGCTTTCTTAGGAGGGGCCAGTCTGGCCCATGCTGCTTCCAAGGTGCGTGGCAAGCAGGAGCAGCTCAATTTCGACGTGAACGCCCAGCCGTACCTGCTGGCAAACCACACCCTCGATGCGTGGGAAGGCGCATGGCGACATCACGACCTGTCGCCCCCAGAGCTGCCGCCAGGCCATGAGAGCTGGCCCGCTCTGCCTGAGCTCGACCACCAGCAAGTGCGGGCTGCCGTTCGCAAGTTTTCGACGCGTACGGCAGCTGGGCTGAGCCGTATCTCACCCAGATGCCTGGGCGCTCTGTCGGACCAAGCGCTCGAGCGCATCGCCAAGATGTTTATGCTTTTCGAGCAGTGGCTGTCCTGGCCTCCTGAGCGGGTTTACAGCGACATGGTTCGCTTACCTAAACCTGACGGGGACACACGATTGATTGTGCTATCCCACGCTTTGGTTCGACTCTGGGGCAAGCTCAGGAGACCAGTCTCGGCATCGTGGCAGGCTGGCTATCAGTGCGACCAGATGTGGGGCACGAGAGCGGGCCACCCGTCTACGGACTCGACTTTTGATCATAATATTCAGCAGGAGGTGGCGCAGTTGTTGGGGGAACAGACATGTACAATCTTGCTTGATATGAGCAAATGTTATGGCATGGTGGACCCACATGCGCTGCTCCGAGAAGGCCAGGCTCTTGGGTTTCCACTGCGGTTGCTTTGGCTCCTCATTCAGAGCTACCAACAGCCCCGCCGAATAAGGGCCTTTGGGAGTGTATCCAGATCTTTTCTGTCCTTCCAAGGGATCCTAGCTGGGTGTACCCACGCCACATACGTCTTGTACTTGCTCACCTATAGGTCGGTGCAGAGGGTCGCGAAGGTCCCCCCCACGGTGACCCCGAGGACGCTCATGGACGACATTGGGCTCCAACATACCTCCCAGGACCCCAGGGAGGCCAAGTGCCTTGCGCTGGCTGCGAAGGGTTTCATCCAGGACTCCAAGGGCCCCGGCATGATCTTGAAGGCTTCCAAGTCTGGGGCTGTCGTTGGTTCTCGGAAGTTCTGGAAGGGGGTGCAGAGCCACATGGGCTCCATGAAGATCCCGTACAAAGGCCACATGAGGAACCTAGGTCACGAGCTCACGGGGCCCAGGGTTATTCGGGGCATGGAAAAGAAGCGTCTCAAACAGCTCAGAGAGAGGAAGGCGAGGTTTTCCATGCTGAAGTCTGCGGTCGGCAAGGTCGCGACAGCTTTGTGGCGCACAGGCGCCCTTCCATCCGTGGCGCACGGTGCTGCAGTTGCTGGAGTAAGCGACGTTGCACTTCGAGAGTTGCGTCTTTTCGCCGCCGTCTTGAACGGCGCGCCAGGTAAATTTAACACTGGTGTGACCGCCTACTTGATTAGCCACAAGAGCGAATTCTACGATCCTATTTACCACGCCACTATAGCGATTGTTATTAAATTTGCGGAGCGGGTCTGGGACGGTAGAATACCCGACAGTCGTCTACATCGGGCTTGGGAGGCTCTCCGAGATAAGATCGGCACACTGTCCTGGGCTAACACTCGAGACCCGATCGGGGCCTGCTGGCTGACTTTACGACGTATTGGGTGGAACCTAGTATCTAGTCATATGGTGGCTGACGATTTAGGCAATGTTTTCGACTTGCGCGTTATGTGCCCTGCTGACCTGAAGGTGTTCCTCACCCAGGGGATCCAGCGTTGGCAGGACGAGCGGCTGCTCAAGCATTTTTACACCGCTGAGCCTGGCGAGCAGATATGGCACCGAGGCTTGCGCAACTCGGTGAAGAGTATCAAGTGTGTTCGTAGACTCGGGGCCCTCCAAGCGCACTGGTCAGGGAACCTCCCCATCCCTCAGCTCCAAGATGCCCGTCATAAGGTACCAATCAGGCCGTGTGCAGCTTGTGGGGCCCAGTCTCAGGGCATTTGGGGCCACGTGCTCTACGACTGCCCCGAGCTGCTCACGCAGCGCGAGGACTTCCTGGACATCTCAGAGGACTTGGAGGCAACCAGAGGCAGGCTCTTGAAGGGGGGCGAATGGTATGATGGGCGTCTGGCTTGGGAGTCCAATTATTTGGTCTTTGGGGCCCCTGCTCCTCCTGTGGGTATTCCTGGGCCCGACACTATAAGTTCGGAAGTTCTACTGTGGGGCGACACCGACGGGCCTTGGGGCCCCAAGAGCTACACCGACGGTTCGGGCCTCGCCTCCAGTGTTCCAGAGACTAGGCGGTGCGGGTATTCATGCATCCAGCTGGACCCCAAGACCCTTTTGCATGTTCGTGCAGTGTATGGACCGCTGCCCTTCTATGTGCAGACCGTTGGCCGTGCTGAGAGATATGCGATCAAAATGGGTTTGGAATTTCATCCTGATCACGAGCTGTTCGTGTCTGATCTCCTGGGGCTGGTAACCGAGGGCAAGTCTTGGGATCAATCCCTTCAGCACGGTCGAGGCAAGCACGCCAGGATATGGCGCGAGATTTTTCAGGCTGCGCAGCGTCGTGCACTTGAGTACCCAGTTTGTTTTGAGTGGACGCCTGCACACCGTGACCTCGACAGTGTGCTGGAGAATCCTGAGGAGTTGGAGAACTGGCTCGGCAATGCCTGGGCTGATTACTTCGCCAAGGCAAGTGCGGCGCACCACATGATCGCCAACACGGTTTCTGAGTCGCTCACAGAGGCTCTGAAGGTCCATAAGGCCACGTTGCAGTTTGTTTCGTGGGCGTGCTTACGAGTCACCGTCTCGGAGAGTTGGGGTCGAGGTCCTCCGCCGCCTGTTCAGGATCCTGAGGCCCGTGAGGTTCTGAGGCAGCCAGTCGTGTTCGGACGTGGGTCAGATCATGATCTTTGGTGGTGCAGGAAACTCAAAGAGCATAGGTGCAGGAGATGTGGGAGATCGGCTCGATCGGACTCGACTCTAGCGTGGCTTAGGACTGGGTCGGGAAGGAAATGTGAGCCCTCTAGCCTCCAGAGTCTGGCCTGTGCTGAATGGTTTAAGAATTCGGGGGAGGTCTGGGTCAAAGTGTCGGACCCCCGCATTGCCCCGTCACAAGTGCTTGTCGCGGACTTTTTGGGAGAAGGGCCTTGCGAGGCCTCGGAGGGACCCCTTCCTGGGCCCACGGACCCTCCCCAGGAGCCTGTGGTCGGCGAGGTTTCAAACTGTTCGGGGTCGAACGAGCTCATTGCTGAGTTTGCGGCTCTGGGCCACGATGTTTTCTGCGTGAATTCGGTCTATTGTTGCCGTAAGTGTGCTGGCACGACGACCCTCGAGACGTCTCGGAGCGTTCGGAAGCTCCGTCGTCCCTGTGCTGGGCTCTCAGAGAATCCGAGCACGAGGGCCAATCAGCTGGGGTTGATCGACAGGATCTTCCACGGCCGCCAAGGGCGCCCCAAGCGCCCCGAGGGCAAGGCGCAAACGTAACTCGTATTGCCCTCCTGGGAGCGGTTTAGTGGCGTCGGTTTTCCCTGGCCCCCGCCCGCCCTCTCAGTACATAATATTTCCGCCACCTTGCGGCCCCTCAGGGTTCTCATTTGTTCCTGAGGCGTGTTCGGATCGGACGCGCTCTCGGTGGCCCTCACCCTCACTATCTGATAGCTCTACAGGAGCTCACACAAGAGTGGTCCCGCCAGGTGTCCGGAGCAAACCCTCATTTCGCCAGTCACCTCAGTACCACATGTGGTGGATATTCGAGGCGGCGTCACCCCCGTACTATCGCTCAGGTCGGTGCAGAGGATGGGTACGCTGCGGCTCGGCGTCTTTCCTAGAACCACTGCAACCCAATCAATCAAACCTCAACCCGTGCGATCGTACTTGGCTCCCTCCGCTTTGATCTTCACTCTCGGGGGAAAGTAGACGCATATCGAAGCGGAATCGTAAAAAGACAGGGCCATACGCACCGCCAAGCCACGGCCCGCCAAAGCCCCGCCTGGAACTAGTATCCGTCGAAGTTGACGCCGCTTGATTTTGCAATCGAATGTCATGGTCATACCTGTCGAGCTGTTGGTATACTGTCCTGGGCACCAGCCGCCTTCAACCTGCCACCTCCGTCCAAGTCGGCGCTGTTGGACTCGAAATTGGGCTCGAAATCCTGTCCCGACCAACGTTGCGCACTCGAAGTCATCACACGCCAAATGTAGTTTGTCCTGATCACGGCGAGATTCAGAGAGAGGATTGTAGTGGCCACAGCGCCATCCGTGCGGCAGCAGCGTCGGCGGTTGCGAGTCCCCCATTAAAACATTTCTCCGATTCAAGCTGAAGGTCGGCCCCTGTTGCCACGATGGCCCCCAGCAGCCTGAGGTGCAACGTCAGACCTGACAGGTCATGGAAAGAAGAAAAAAACTGTGAGAGCTATGGCCGCCCTGCATTTGCATCAGCCCACATGGCGGCTCCGAGTGGAGGCGGGGGGAGGGAGAAGAGCGGAGGGCGCTGGCGGGCTGGGAGCGCGGTC